GGGGCGGGGCGTTGCTGCAGCAGCAGCAGCAGCAGCAGCTACTGCAGCAGCAGCAGCAGCACCTGCAGCAGCAGCGGCAGTGCTGAGATAGGAACACCAAGAACAACTTAAAACAGCAAGCTAACACAGAGCAGGGTGCAGTTGGCTGCTCCGTAGCTGCTGGCCGCCACGCGCAAACTTCCGGGGTTTAGGGTTTAGGGTTTAGGGTTTAGGGTTTAGGGTTTAGATTTTGTGCGCAGAATTGGGTGCATGAATGAATTTACGAAACTAACCGGGGAGGGGGCGGTGCTGCTCTCCACAGACGTAGCGGCCAGGGGCCTGAACCTGCCCGAGGTAAACCCTAAACCCTAAACCCTAACCCCTAAACCCTAAACCCTTTCTTCGTGAGCCCTTCGTCTTGCGGGGGCCGTTGACAGCGCGTGCGACTGGCGGCTTCGGCCCCGCAGTTTGCGATCCTGGCCTCAGGCCTCAGACTCCGTGGCTACGGTTTAGGGTTTAGGGTTTAGGGTTTAGGGTTTGGACGCAGGTGGACTGGATACTGCAGTTCGAACCCCCGCAGCAACTCGAGGAGTACATACACCGCATAGGCCGCACGGCGCGCCTCGGCAAACAGGGGCGGGCGCTGCTGTTTCTGTTGGAGAGCGAGAGAGGTACCTAAACCCTAGACCCTAAACCCTAAACCCTAAACCCTAAGCCCTCGCTGCGCAAGCATGCCTGTGAGTGCTGAATCGTCAGAAGCGGCCTGAGGAGCTGCTGCTGCTCCCCCGCTGCCTTCAGTGCTGCGGCGGCCTTTGTGGCGGGCCTTCGCCAAGGGCTACTTTAGGGTTTAGGGTTCCGGGTTTAGGGTTTAGGGTTTAGGGTTTAGGGTTTGGCCCCGCAGAGTACGTGGACTACCTGGCCTCCCGCGGCCTTAAACTCAACGAGCTCTCCACCGCCCGACTCTGCGAGTCGCTGCTGCAGCGGGCACCCCCCAACGTGGGCCTAGCGCAGCCAGACCGCAGCAGCAGCAGCAGCAGCAGCAGCAGCAGCAGCTTTAGCCCGCAGCAAGAGGCGTCTCTGCGCTTTCTGGTTCGGCAGTTCTGCGAATTTGTGGCGCCAAGGCGAAGACTGATGGAAGCCGCCAGAAAGGCTTTCTTATCTTCCGTCAGGTGCAGCCCCCAAACCCTAAACCCTAAACCCTAAACCCTAAACCCTAAGGCTTAAGTAGCACAGTTCCCGTACTCGTTTGCCGGGCACCGAGGGTTCTCCTTCGCTCTTTTTGGCCTAGGCTGTTGCGCAATGACTGGGAGCTTTGCATCTAGGCCTCCTTCCGAGGGTTTAGGGTTTAGGGTTTAGGGTTTGGGCTGCGCAGGGCCTACAAGACCTACAGCAAGGACCAGCGGCACATTTTCAATTCTTCGAAATTGCCGCTGGGGCCTTTAGCCACAGCCTTTTGCATTAAAGAGTCTCCTAAGGAAATAGCTGGCCACTTGCACCGCACCCCGCAGCAGCAGCAGCAGCAGCAGCAGCAGCAGGGGGAACGCCGGAAGCGGAGGCGCGCGGACGGGTTTGGGGCGCAGAAAAAGCAACGGACCAGCAGCAGCAGCAGCAGCAGCAGCAGCAGCGGCAAGCAGCAGCAGCGGGAGAAGGCAAAGCAACATAGAGAACACCAGCAGCAGCAGATTGAGGTGGTCCCCAGCAGCAGCAAAAGCAGCACAAGCGCAGCAGCACGCGCGGTGCAGATGTTGCAGGCACGGGGAGAGCTGCTGCAGCAAAGCCACAGCAGCAAAACCAGCAGCAGCAGCAAGGCGAAGCAGCAGCCACGAGGGAGAGACTGGAAAGCCAAAAAGAAAGCCTGAAGAGTTCGGAGGTGCTGCTTTAGCCCCTGCACGCTGCTGCTGCTATTGCAGCAGCAGCAGCAGCAGCAAAGCTGTGGCTTGAGGGCTGTGGAGAGCGGGCAGAAGCAGGCAGCGGTTGCTGCTGCTGCGGTGCTGCTGTGCTGCATCATTCGCAGGTTTTGCTGCAGTAGTTTCTGAAAGTGCAGCAACAGCAGCAGCAGCTGCTGCTGCACCAAAAGACTCTAACGAAGCTGGAGGAACAATGTTTACAGCTTTCGAGGGTTTAGGGTTTAGGGTTTAGGGTTTAGCGCTCTGTGGCTGCGCCAGGGCACAGCAGCCTTAAAAGCTGCCCAGTTGGGGATGGAGCACTGCAGCAGCAGCACTGGCTGCCGGTCTTCCCATTGCGCAGCAGAATCAGCCTCTTGCTGCTGCTGCTGCTGCTGCTGCTGGTCTTGCTGCTGCTGTTGCTGCTGGTCCTGTTGCTGCACGTCCTGCTGCTGTCGCCGCTGCGGGTCTTGCACCTGCACGGCGTGCTGCGTCTGCTGCTGCTGGTCTTGCTGCTGCTGCAGCTGATGTTGCTGCTGCACATTCTGCTGATGCTGCAGCCGCTGGTCTTCCTGATGCACATCTTGCTGCTGCTGCAATTGGTTCTGCTGCTGCTGGCACTGCTCTTGCTGCTGCTGCTGCTGCACAATGGCTAAACAGATTTTGGGTTTGTCCATGCCTGGAGGCAGCAAGAAGGACATCTCCATTTGCTGCTGCTGCTGCTGCTGCTGCTGCAACAAAGTAACAACGTCAGCGATCGGTGGAGTATCTCCTGAATAGACAGGCAGCAGCAGCACATCCTCCTCACTACGCCCATTCTGCTGCTGCTGCTGCTGCTTGGGGACTTCGATGCAGCCGCAGCAGCAGCAAACGGACCCACATGAAGAAGTGTCCAAAAGCAGCCGCTGAGCAGCCACAGCCAGTGCGCACTCCTGCTGCTGCTGCTGCTGCTGCTGCTGGGGGTCTTCTGCAGCTCCTTTGACGCGGCGCAGCAGCACACTGTGGGGCTCAATCCACCGAGGCCACAGCGAAGCAATAAAAGAGGCTGTTGCCACTTGCAGGGGCCCTTGGGGGGCCCCCTGGGGGCCCCCA